GAAGTTTAAAGCACTTTCTTGTTTGCTAATTTAACCGTGAAAAGACGAAAAAAATGGCTGATTGAAAGATATATTCTTCTTTTCTTTTTGAAAATGAAAATCATTTATTTCAGATTGAAAATCATGCAGCTTTGGTAAACCGGATTGAAATGTGCCGGTTATGTCTAGCCGGTCCGGTTTTTTATTTATCCAAAGCGTAAAAACGGCGACGAGTGGTGTTTTTTTAGTGTTGTTGGTCCGACAAAATCTAGAGAAGAGTGTTTTGCATTTTGTAAAATCGAATTAAGGTGGGGGAATTTCCAAAGGAGGGTAGATCGAAACAGGCGAAGAAAATTGAAACAGGAATCCATTAATGGTAAACCTTACATGTTTTGTTCTTTGTTCTGTTTCTTGGGTTTATCTCGAAGCTTTCATCAGTTTGTCTGGTTTGCGACCAAGTAAACTGGAATTGGTTACGGATTTTTAGAGAGAATCGATGGGAAAAAGAGGAGTTTTATTGTTTTAGTGGTGTTAGTGTTGAATATCCATTGGTTTTTTTTTAGCTTATCAATTCCAATGTGCATTTGGATTTCATTTTCTTTTTGGGTTGATTTAGTTGTATATCTTTTGTTTCAAATCGTTTGCGTAATTAAAGGTATATTTAGGAGATATGAGAAATGGAATCCTACTTGGGGAATGGTTGTGGCGTCGGTTTTGGACCCGAGGTCATTGGCTATGTCGGTGCTGGCTGCGGCGTTGGTATAACACTTGCTGGTCTATCTACTTCTAGCAGCTCCTTATAACAGTATGTACTCTCAGACACACACATTTCTTCATATATATGTAATTCTTAAGAAGTGAGATTCTTTTCCGTTTGTACTCAGTTTAATGGTAAATCTTTGATGTTCTGTGTTTCAGATTGACGTAAGGATAGTTCATGAGACTCCATATCAGATTGATTCTTCAATGTTAGGTTTTGTTTTATTAAGCTATGAAGCTTATTTAATATTTTGAAGTTGAAACACACAAAGTATCAAAACACAAACAAATTTGGCTCTGAATCACCATTCTTGATCTGAGCTAATCATTCCCCCATGCCTAAGTGACCCATTAGTAGCCAAACGAAATTGATTAGCTCCCCACCTTTGCTAAGTAGCTCCATACGCGTTGTACCGTCACAATGTGATGCTGCGTGGAAGAGGAACTCCAGCCACACTATGCTGAGTGTTCTCCATTTGTCTTTCTCCAGTCTCAGAAGTTCTTTGGCCAGTATACATGCCTCAAATAACACCGATTTGCTATGAGTTCCTTTGACATCTCTTGGTTCGATGCTGGTATCGACTGAAAGAATTTTCTCACAAGCTAATTTCACACTCCTAGAGCTTCTGATACCCATCTTGTCGAAGAATCTTTCAGCTTCCGCCAAGGTGTCTCTGAATCTGATTTTCCCTATGCCAGCTATCTCTGACATCAGCTTGGGCTGCTTGATCAAGAGATACATCATGTAGTCGGAAAGGATTTTGCTGTGCTCACGGTCTTTGTGATACTCAGATGTATCACACTTCTCTTTGGTGGAAGCTTCTTCTTGGTAACAGAGCTCGGTGGCAATGTGCCAGATCAAAAGACTATGGTCATAATCGACATCTGTTATGTAATGCAACAGCATTTCATGATCTGCTATTTGAATCTGGGTATGGCTTGACGCCCAACCTCTCCTGGCCGAGGTTTTTGTTTTGGTATTCTTCAGGTTCTCTGGAATCTGGGACTTGATTTTCAGCTCAGAAAAGACGTAAGACCATAGATTTCTTGTCAAGGGTTCGCTATGTACAGATCTTACCAGTCTTATCTCATGGAAGAGATCCTTGATGCCCAAGAAGTTGATCAAGCAGGCACCAAGAAACGCGATAACGTAAGGTACATGGATAAAAAATTCAACAAAATTCTGGAAGATGGTGATAATAGAACGAGTCACCAGATTTTCTCCTGGCGATAGAGTGATCACTCTGTGGATAACACACTGGTCAAGGTCACGAAACCACATGGCGATGTTTCCGGACCAAGTTTGGATGGTGGAGATAGCGTAAATGAAAAGGGGACCTAATCTGGTTCTACCCCTGGGGTCATGGATCTTTTCTGTATCTGCATTGAAGGAGTATTTGATGAAGTTGAACATTTTGATGCTTCCATTCCATCTTCTGAGTAGAAACGGTGTGTTAAGCACCTCATGCTGATGTCCCTCGCGACATGTTTGCCGCTTCCAGTGTGGCGTCTTTAGAAAAAGGATCCAGTTGAGTATGCGGTCTTTTGTTGAATACATCTCGTCGGGGTCATCCTTTAGCTTTGCGAGGATGGCTGTTGTCCAGTCTGAAACCATGAACATGTGGATGGATATAGCATCCAAAGCTATGCCAACTAAGAACAACATGTAAGTGATCATGATGTCGGCTTTGTGAAATTCTTGGATCTTAGTGTGTCTATAATGGAAGATGCCAAAGGCTGATAGAAGAGATCCCAAGGATATAAGCCGGGACACAACTCCAAGCAAACTATGAAGAACCGCACCTTTTGTGTACAAGCCTTCATAGATAAAGTCAAGCTCGGCCTCTATAATCCTCAGAGCTTCTTCATCTTGTAGTCTCGATAAGCTAAAGAATGTTTTGCTTTCATCGCGCAGATCCAAGCCGAAGATGTTATTGACCATAATACTCTTGAAGTTGTTGAAGAACAAGAAGGCATATTGAAGAATTTCAAGGTGGGTCAAGCCTCTGTTGGGGAATATGAGCTTCAGAGGTTTCAGCTGTCTGCGGTTCTCCTTCATGTACATCTCAGAAGCAAGTATTAAGTCCATATCTAGGTTCTTTGTTTGCTCGGTGTAGTCAAACCCTGAACTGGAGGCCTGCAACATCGATCCCCTGAACTTGTCTGAACTCGCAAGGTACAATGCAATTGTCCTTTCCAGATACTTAGAAGTCCCAGCAGTGAATAGTAAAAGTAGTATTCCCCAAAGTACATTGGGTAGAGACTGAACAACCACATAGACACCTGCAAGCGCTTGAAAGACAAGCCCAAGAAAATGTCTGGTCCAGAGAGCATTGTCTTCGAGGGAAAACGCAGTGATGGTGTCTGGTCCACCAAGGTGTAAGAGCAAGAAAGGTGCCCACAAGGCGACTAGCTTCTTGTCTTGAGGAGGATCATCGGGTTTAGGGTCTTTACCTTGGTTCTTGGCAATCAACGCGACCGCAAAATTCGCAGACAAATCTGCCAATAGATACGAGGACCACAAGAGAAGGATCAGAAGCTTGTTGGACGTTCGTTTCCTCGAGGGAGAAACGAAAATGAGAATCGTCTGAAGCGAGAGACTGAGGATGATCATTCCCCTGATATTCCATGTGTCCCAAATATGTTTGATTTGTTTAGGGATCACTTCCACCATTTTCCTCTGTGACAAGAAACGGCTCTGGATTAGATGTGCTTGTAAAACTCTCTTTTTTTGGGTTAAGATACCTTGTGTGTGCTTTCTGGAATTCCTTTGTTTGCTATTTCAGTATTTTGTGTCTTTTTTCTACAGAGAATATGGCCCACAGAGCACATGTCTATAGACTTCCTTTTTCTTGAAGCAGTGGCACTATTTGAAATAACTTGTAGCAGTCCAACAAAACCACACACGCACCAAAAGATCAACTTCATGGCACTAGTTGAAATAACTTGTAGCAGTGGTGCCAACAAAGATTTAGTATTTTAAACAGATCCCAATGAAAAACAGAGCATCATATCGACAGATTACAATCTAGGAGCACATGAA